ACTAAAAGAGACTTTTGATTTTTCATAATTAATTTTCTGTCCGTAAACTGCTTCATATTGGTTGAGAATATCAACAGTGTTTGAGCATTCCTGTCGGGTGTCTCTTAAAAAGGAGAATGTCGTCTGCAAATAGAATGTGAGAAATTTTTGGCACACTCCTGCAAGCCCTGGCCCTATGGAGCACTCTTTCCTGAACTTTCTTTTGAATCATTATGGAAAAAAACATATACAACCAAGTTGAACAAATACGGGGGAAGGGGGTCTCCCTGTCTCAGACCCCTAGTAGGGGTCACATTCCCACACACTCCATTCACCACAAAAGAGTAGGAAACCGTTGAAATACAATTCATAATCAGGTTGACCCACCTCCCATCAAAACCAATCGTGAGTAAAAGCTTTCATAAGAAACTTCATTCTACTCTATTGCAAGCTTTACTCATGTCAAGTTTCATAGCAACAATGTCTTTCCTGCTTCTATTCCTTTTTTTCATGGTATGAAAAATTTCTAAGGCAATAACATCATTATCTGTAATAAGCCTCCCTGGAACAAAGGCACTTGATGGGTGTAATAAATGGCACCCATTTGATGAGTAGGTTGTTTTTACCTTCTTTTCATAGTTTTATTTCTTAATAAATGCTTAGTTTCATGCTTTTGCTCTTTGTTTTACCTTTTCTCTCTCATTTTGTGGTTTGTGCATTTTGATGGTTTTTCTAGTCTTTTCTCCTTTATTTGTTCTCTTTTCGTGGTTGTAGGTATTGTACGAGATTCAGGTCTTGATATGGATGGATTACTAAGGTGGAAGATGATTTTGGAGCAAGCTCATGGCAATAGGAAAGCTCGATGCAAGGAAATGGATTCTCCAAGTTCTAGCTCTTGCGCTTTCAAGCTGCGCTCTCATGAAGTGGTGTTGAACCCACTGTCAAGAGCTCCTAGCTACTGCCTCTCTTAGTGTTCATCATCATCATATTGTGCGTTTATTCGAAGTCCCTTAGTGAACGCACGAAGCCTCGAGAAGAACCGAAGAAGCCCAGAGCAGCGCGGGCGCACAAACCACGGGCGCGGATGCGCCACCAAGCCCGCGCGAGCGTGCCCCACCGGGTCCCTGCTTTGCTCGGTTTTGTTTCGCACCTCCTATTTATATCTACTTGTACCCGAATTTAGGATGAATTTTAGAGAAGTTTTAGACATAATCTTTGATCATAATCTTAGCTTAGTTGAGAACTTCTCTCTCTAGTTTTAGGGTTAGTTTAGGACTAGATTTAGAGAAAGAAAGTGAGGGATTTCAATGGTGATTGAGAGATTGAATATTCAATGGTACAATTGTGTTAAATATCTTCTCTATTAACAAATGAGCATTTCTAACTCTATCTCATTTTATTGCTTTGTTTAATATTCAAGTTTGTTTGGATTGATTTTGATGCTTGTAGCTTGATTAGTGTAGTTGTTCTTGATATTTTGATTCTTGATTTCCTTAGTTGTTAGTTGATTAGATGATGATGTTAGAGTAGTTGTTTGGTAAGGGATTGGGTAAAACTTGGATGATTGATTGATTGTGCTTAATTTGGGGATTATGTTGATAATTGTTGAGATTAAAGTGATTAATGAAAATTGTGCATGTGTGTAATTCGATTAGACCTTGAGTTATGATAGATTGCATTGTGAGTCTACATTGATACAGACCATTGATTTGTAGCTCATAATTGTTGATTGAGTTTGGTTAGTGACATTTTAGTGTCTCTCGTAGTTGGCGCTAGTTAGACCTCTAGGAGATAGCTTGTCGAGTTCTTTTGATTTATCTTACAATTAGTCTTCGCAACCATTGATTTGCATGTTGTTCTCGAGTTGCTACAATTGTCATGATACTTGTTGATCCCCGTTTCTAGTGTTTTATTTATTTGGTTCTTGTTTTGTTAGTTGTTAGTATTACCTCTTACCTTTGTCTTCAACCTAGCTTATACGCCCAAATTAAAAGCATTTGAACATAACCGTTCCTTTGAATTCGACTCTTGATTTACCTCTATACTTGTATTTAGGTTTGTTAAGTGTTTATAAATTTAGTTTGACCGAGGGAGAATTAGTCAATGACCTAGATTTTCCCCTCGTCAGCACTCTAATTTTTTGATACAATATCAGGAAGAAATTTTTTATGTCTAATTACTAAATCTTTCAACACCAACTTGTAAATCACATTGCAAAGAGCTATTGGCTGGTGCTCCATAATAGAAGTAGGAGATTAAACTTACAGGATGAGGACAATATTAGTCGTATTTACACAAGGATAAGTGATGCCATGTAAAATATTACTAACAAAATTAATAACGTCATCTCCCACAATGTGCCAAAATCTTTAATAGAAAATAGTGTGCATATTGTCCGACCCTGGAGCTTTACAGGGATGCATTTGCTTGAGTGCTTCATACACCTCCTCCTTTGTGAAAGGCTGCAAGAGATTATTGTCTACGTGCTCAACAAAACACAGCTCCACCGGCGGAAGAACCTCCTGCAAATCCAATTGGGAACAAAAACTTGCTGTGAAAAGTTTTTCATAATAATCCGAAATAATGCCCTCAGGGTCCTCTTCATTTGTCTTTCAAACTCCTACATTGTCATAAAGACCAGCAATACGGTTTTTCTTCTTTCGTTAAGAGGCTTTATGATGAAAATATTTTGTGTTTTGGTTTCCGTCTCTCACTTCGAAAACTCTAGAGTGAATAAACCAGTACGCCACTTGTCTCGCACAAAGCTCTTCCAGTTTACCCTCGAGCATCACACATTCTTCATAACTCTGCTTCGAGATTGGTTTTCTTTAGGCTGCTTGGAGTTTCCGCTCAGTTTTGTCGATTTGCCCACCCAAATTGTGAAGGCTTTTCCCACTCCATTCGATCAAACCACAGCCTACCGCAGCAAGCTTCTCAACAATAGGCCTCCCATCCGCCATGTCCCACGCTTTTTTAACCGTCAGCTTGCAATTCCTGTCAAGAAGCCATCTTGTTTCGAATCTAAAGTCAGTGCCCCTCTTCTTCTTTGTCTTTTTTTTCACTTTAGCTTTGTGGCGAAGAAGTATGGCAGCATGGTCAGACTTGACCCGAAGCAGATGCTCCACAAATGCTCTTGGATAGAGATGAAGCCAAGAAGAAGTTGCTAGGAAACGATCGATACGCTCCCTAATCATGGTTTAAGCTGAGTTGCCCCTCTCTCAAGTGTACCATTGTCCTTCATAGCCTAGGTCACGTAAGCAACAAGTGTCAACGGCCTCTCTAAACCCATCCATCTCTCTTCGAACTTTATCCGTACCTCCCTCCTTCTCTTCGTATCTTAAAGTTTCATTAAAATCCCCTCCAAAGAGCATAGGCACCTCACTCTCTCTGCAAAGGAAATTTAAAAGAGCCCAAGTTTTGTGTCTTTCATCCTCCTTCGGCCACCCATAAATCCCCACGAAACGTCACACCACTACCCCTCTTGCTTCACATCCCCACATATATGATTTTTTGAGAATGACACAAGATTGAAATTAACCCCTTCTCTCCAATAAAGACACATACCTCCCGCTTTACCCCTACTGGCTACCCCAAAAGTATTAGAGCACCCAAACCTGTATTTTAAATTTACCACTACACTTTAATTTATCATAGTTTCTGACAAGAAAATCATAGCGGGGGAAAATTTATTGCTCCATCTACGGAGTGGACGAACTGCTCGAGGATTCCCATAACTCGGCATTTCCAACATAAGAGATTCATTGATCCCGGCAGGGTTAGACATCCCCAACCTCCGCCGATACATTATAAGGTTCTATAGCATTAATGTTGTTGCGTTTCCCAGCTCCGTAGTCTTCTACCTCCATCTCCTCAGTTTCAAGGGATCGCTTCAACACTACGATTGTTTGGTCATCCTCCATGTTGACTAGCCCCTGCACCCTGGCTAGCTTCTTCCAGGTCTTAGCATTCTTTTTCTTCCCTTCTGTCTCCGCTCTGAATACAAACATTGGGGCTTGAGGTTCTGTTTCCACCGGTATCTTGTGTGATTGTTCAGTATGGTGATTTTTAATAGGTTCACTCTAAAGCTGGTCCCTACTCACATTCTGCACTTTAAGTCTTGCAACAGGATCAGCCTTGTCGCTTTGTGTTGTCTCATTCTCTAGCAACAGAATACCTTAGCTTTATCCTCCTTCACCCCCTTGTTTCCATCCTCCTCCTCAATACAATCCCTTGTCCCAAACAGAATTTTCCACCTGCTCACAATATTCTCCGTCTCCTCCGCTTCTTTGACCTCCCTTTTCGGGGAGTAGCCTTCAGCGAGGTTCCCCATCCCAATTCCTCCGTCACAGATTGGCAATCTGAGTGCCCCATAACCCCACAGCCAGAACAAAAATAAGGTAATCATTCATAAGCGAAATCGACCCTCGTCTCCCTCCCCTTGTCAAAAAAATTTTAAAAACGTCGCAGCGGAACTGAAGTGTCAAGCATCACCTTTACTCTGCAATTCCAAGAACATCCCTTCTCAATCTCAATGATCTCCCCCATTCCCTTCACTAGTGCTGACACATAGGTAATCGTTCACAAGCGAAGTCGACCCTCGTCTCCCTCCCCTTCTTGTCAAATTTTTTTGAAAACGTTGCAGTGGAACTGAGGTGTCAAGCATCACCTTTACCCTGCAATTCCAAGCACATCCTTCTCGATCTCAAATTCTCAATGATCTCCCCAATTCCCTTCACTAATGCTGACATAGGCGTCTGATCGACGGTAAAAGGGGGATTTTTTATTCTGACCCAGAATGGAGAATGGATTAATTTTACATCTTCTGGTCTTCCTTCCAACTCCTCCTTGTCCCTCCAATGGAAGAATTGGATTGCAAAGAAATTGGGGCTCAGGTTTCAAATCGCCAATCCATGGGCAGGTGCCCAAATATTTGTCATTGTTCTCTTAAAAGCTTCAAAATTGTATGATCTCTCCGTAAAAATCTTACCCATCAGCATTAGGGTTAGATTCGATTCATCCTCTTTAAGATCAATAGACCCCAAATTGATTGCATCTCACAATTCATCATCAATAGCAAGGTAAACCATGCTTTAGTACAAGTTACATAAAGATAATAAATTTGGTAATCAAAGTTAATACGAAGTATTAGAATACTACAAAGTGAAAAAAGATGCTGAAAAACAATTATATTTTCAAAAACCTAGTTTTCTTTCTTTTTTTAGTATTTCTTTATGATTTTGATTAATGTCGTTGTACCAGGGTTGTAAGAATTAGGTAAATATTAAAAAAGCACTGGATAATTTCCAAAACTAAGAAAAACTAAATGGCTGTACAACCTTCAGTTGCTTTAGTATATACCTAAAAACCACCCAATCCAGTTATGTGTTTCTTCATGGCTCTATCTTTTCTGTAATGATTATTCCTTCCTCCTCCTCCCCGTCTTCCACGGCCCCTTCCCCTTTCTCTTCCAGCGTTGCCTCCACCATCCATTTCCGAAGGATCAGACTCCTCCACTTCTACTTGGTTCTGCTCTTCTAGAATCTTAACAGCACCAAGAGGACGGTTACCACCACGTCCGAGTCCATGTATTTGTTCTTTCTGGGCTTGATTAATTAAAGATGCTTGCTTTTGGTCAGCAACTGCAACAGATCCTTCAACCTTGTAACTGTAGTTCTTACCATCCTTGACATAAAACTGAGGTTTCTTTTTAGAATTCCATTTGGATGCAGCTGCGCTGGAACCAAAACCATGGCTTTCAGCCCCAGAGGGCACACTCAATTTTGAACGAATTTTCTCACCTAAAATCTCCGTCTCCTCTACACCCGATTCCACAACAGTCATGCCGAGATCATCAAAAGAGTCATCGTACTCATCTTCATATTCATATTGTGACAACAAAGCAGTCGTCTTTTCCATATGCTTCTCATCTCTAGAACCCAAATTATCATGATCAGGTTGGTCATCTTTAGATTTTCTGACGAATCGTCCAACAGAAGATGATATGGAGGACCCTGATGAAGAAACTGCTGCTTGCTTTGGCTTCTGAGGTTTTATGATTGAGTTTGTTGTAGGCAATTCTGTAGATTCTACAAAAATACCCTTTCCTTTATCTTTTTTTGTCAACTGTGGAGCAGACTTAGGTGGAATTATCTTCAATTTAGTATCCAATTTCCGCAGATCATCATGCAAAGTTCCCTCCAAAATCCTTTGAATCACCTCCTCAGGATTATGGTCATAGGCTTCAAGACAAGCTGATATAAAACCTTTTCCATAATCAGGGAAAAGGTCTTTCACTTGACTGATCTTTGACTCTGCAATTACAGCATCTTCTGTCACTTGCAAATCATCACTTCTACCAGAGTTTGGAGCGCTGGGTAACTTTCTAGAAACGGCAGGTAATGGATGTGTCATCATCACAGTCAAGTATTGGTATTGCTCATCATCTATGAATACCCATCCTGCATTAGCCATCATTAAAATTTGAGAAAGGTTCTCCATTTGTGAAACAGCTGAATACACATAACAATGCTATCTCAGTAATTCATGTTGAGGCTACGAAGTCATGCCCAAAACCAATTTATTATATTGGAAAAGTAGTGGAGAGCACACAGAAAAGGACAGTACAATGTCATACAGAGAAGAGACTATTAAGAAATTTCAAATGAAACAAAATATTTCTCAATAAACATGGCTTTGTCTAAATAAGTATTTACCACTTTGTTTGAGGCTCTGAATTCTGTGCAAGGTTTGAAAGTTTCTTTCAATGTTTTGTAGGAATGTACCCCTGTGATGTTTGCCCTGAGGAACTGCAGCAATCTCCTTAAACGTTTGAACCAATATATCAGCCCTAATAACAGGATCCTCAACACTAGCAGGAAAAATCTTCATGGCAGCAGGAAAGGGAAGGTTATTTTTAAATAACTCCTCGCTCAGGTAGCAATTATATAATAGTTTCCAACCAAGATCAACTAATCTTGAAGATAATACTTTCAAACTAAGAGAAACATCAGAAAGCATGGGAGATGTTTCCTTTCCTGCAGCTAATATGATTTGAAGCCCTTGTTGTAACGAGGGTAGCAGAGAGTCATGCAAAGTTGCAAGAACATTGACCAATTCATCGTTACTGTGACTGCAAAAACAGAGCAACTAACTTTTTAATGAAACAAAAGGATGTCATTACCAGTTTATAAAGTGACAAATAGTAACTGTTTGCATAAAACAAGCAAGTAAAATCTAAATTATACAACTGGTACCTAGCATCAACAGGGCAAGCAAGGTAAAGAGCTGCAGGCTTATAAGCACTAACAAATGTGTCCATGGATACAACAGCATCATTTAGGAAATCCATCACCTACAAAAAAGAACAAACATGGCAGACCATTCACAAAGCTTATACATTAAACCCGCTTAATGCAAAAGTAGGAAACAGTATGATGACTCTGGTGAACAGAGGGGGGGGAGGAAAAGAAATTGTTGTATAATAGACACCGTTTACCAGAATTGGAAACAGTTCTGCTAGGAATACAGCTATGTTTCTCACAATCAGACATGGACAAACTATTATAGGATTTTAAGATAAAAGGGTTTAGGAACTGGAAAAGGAAAAAAAATTAGCAGGAGCTTAAGATATGGTTGAATTGAACATCAAATTGATCAAACTCAATTAGAATCCCTCCACATTCAAAAGGTGGACGCAACTATATCTCTCTCTAGTTTTCTGAATATCCTCTCCTATTAATCATATCATCATCCACTACTTGGATGCTTGCTCTACGCCATTCCTGCCAACTTCCTAACCTCCACTTACGGTAACTGACTTTGGATACACAATCCCTACTTGCCCTTTGTGTTCCTTGTGGCGTTGATTGGGAATTTTGGGCTGATTTGTTGCATATTTTCCTACTTGATAGAGCCACTTTTAATTGATATTGCCACAATCAACTTAGATAAGAGGCAAATAGCAACCAGAAGGAAGTCTCGATTGTAGGTGAGAGGAGAAAAAAACCAAGTGAAGAGATTAACCAACCTCTAAGTATTCTATATGTCGTTGACTGGGTCCATTGTCTACACGGCCACAAGCAGAAATCAAAACCTGTTCAAGGAAAGGAATTGAGTTAGATTTTTATAAATATTGATAGGAAACAATCTAAGAAGAGTAAATCATACTAAGTATACTCTAAGTTCAACTGGGCTTAGATCACCTCCCCAATACAAGCATGCACTGTGCATGCACTGTTTGGATATAATAAAAATAATAATAATAATAAGATAACTAGATAAGTTGTCAAAAGCCTTGAAAGGAGACAGGGAAGTCAACGTCAAACTTGAAAAGTAACCTATGTACAGCAACAAATCTATACAAATACACAGAAGCCATGATTAAATCTTCGTACAAGAACAGCTAGCTACTTTTATAGAGGATACTGTCAACTACACGAGACAGGAAAGCTATGAAATATTGGAATTAACTTTCCAAGTTTGTCACACTACTTCATCTGCTAATGCCAAAAATTTCATGATGGGAGAGTCCCTCACCAGTTTCAATTACATATATATTGTTTTGCATGAAAGTGTATTAAATCAATATATTTTGTTCCTTGTTGACCTTTTTATTTAACCAAGCTCTCACAATTTTTCTACATTTTTTAATCAATATTAGAGTAAAGGAATTAAGGATCTATGTAGAGCTATCCCCTTTATGTGTTTTCTAAGATGGTCTGAGTTAAGTAGTATAAAAGGTCACAATGTTAAATTGCCACTGAATGTTTTATGATAAAAAAATTACCCAAGCTATTGGGAAAGTAGCTATGCACACCTGCAAAGGGGAGGTTCTAAAAATTGAGCAGGTATCTAGGAACCATTTTATAGGATGACACTATGAACTGATAAATAAAAGGATAACTTTGTACTCCCTCCATCCCTAAAAGATTGCCTCAAAATTCAATTTGTGCACATGGGTGAGCACAATTATTGACAAGGAGAGAGATAGAGAGAGCAAACTGAAATTAGAAAATTTTACCAAATAAAGTATGGAGCAATCTTTTAAGGACCGAGAATGTATATCACAAAAGATAATCATCACCTAACATATTTTTCATTGATTGTCACAAAAGCCAAGAAAAGACAGATATGTCTAAGACAGATGATTAACATAACAAAGTTTCATTTAAAAATTCATGTGAAATGCCTTTAATCAACATGGGACAATTTGAACTTACAGAAAGTATAAACTAATTATTTAGTTCATGAATCTTTAGTTTAGGGTATTTGAAATTAAAGACTAACAAAATAATTTATTCATTAATTAGTTGATTGTACTGCTGTTTGTAGCTTTTTCGAAGAGTGGATTGCCTTAATGGCTGACATATAAGATTGGATGATTTGGTCCGTGCTCATAGAGAGTGTACCCTTTACTATTGCTATTATGACAAATCTTATTTCACTTAGATGAAAGTAGAAATCAGAAGTGATTCATCTTAGATATGCTAAAGGTACCTCTAAAACTACACCGACAATATAAACACATAAAGTATACAAGTGGTATTCTAATTAAATCATTAAGTGAACGTTTTCCGAGCAACAGCATAAATAAAATAGATATTACACTAACCATGGAATTTACAAAGTATAATATTTAGGGTTGCTTGGGGTAATACCAGTAAGGCAGTAAGTAAAACATAGCAAATTCATGGCTTTGTGAGCAGTAAATGAACAAACAACACTTGAACAAGGAAGATCAGCAAATTCATAAACAAATTATGTAGCTCAGGTTTAGATGAACTGATCAACTGATTGATCAGATTAAATTCATCCTCCAGCCAAAAAGCTCTTCAACAAACTTATTCATCTTACATTTAGTCAGATGTCATTTGTTCAATATTAACTATTAAACCCAAAAGAAGCAAAAAATTACCTCTAAAGATGAACTGCAACGTTCATACATTGTGCGAACAATGCCCAAGAAATGCGACAACATGGTAGTAAAACTTCTGTAGATATCAGGCTGTGCATTTATAGCATTCAAAACCTGGATCAGAAGAAAGTAGTTATTTATAGTCTCATAAAAAGGAAAGCAATAGTATTTGTAGGCATAGCTCACAGAAGATCAATAATGTATCCTAGAAGGGCTATTGCACTTCCACCGGCATGATACTTAATGAAGTGGAAGTTCTATGGTAACTATGCAGAATCCTAATATATGAGGCACTTATTTCTTACTGAGCATGCACTTTTAAATATGTATCTCCATAAAACGTGCCTACTCCCAGCATCCAAAACAGAAGTTTTTTTTTTCATGCTTTATCAAACCACAATATATTTCCATATAGTAATAATCTAAGAAATGTCAGGAACTAATTTCAAGTAAAGACAAGAAACAGAATACACACAGCCAAAACAAAAAGGCATAAACAATATTATCTGTATAAAGTACTTTTAAAGGCAACTGCAATATATTTATTTATTAAATTAATAACAAAGAAATTAAAAGCATTATAATAATAGTAAACTAACTCAAAAATACAGAAGACAAAAGCTTATCCAATATTACATCACCATGGGAAGTAACCTTGGTAATAGATATCTCACCTTATATCGCTCACAGACAAGACTTGAATATTTAGAGTGAAGTAATACGAAGCAATTTCCAATTTGAATAAGCATTCAAAATGGCATTTTATTCTTTTGTTAATAAAATGTAGTATTACCAACAAATTCTAACTTGTCACCAATATTCCGGATCCTAATACCAACCAAGTGGTAAATGATTCACTAATATCGAGTACTCCTTCCATACTTTATTGTTTGTTCCACTTTCTTTTGCGGCCGTATTTTATTACTAGTTCCATTTCCTTTTTTGTAAACTTTTAACAATATTTACTATTTCCTCCCTACTAGTGGTCCCCTCTTATCATAATTTAATATTTTTCATATTCTCTCTCCTCCCCATTTACACTTACTTTTGCTTTTTCGGATTTATTTTACTCTTCAACAAACCCCACTTGCATCATCAAATAATATTTCTACCGTTCCTCCAAAAACAAACTTTGTGTCCAGAGAAATGAAGCAAGTAATAAAATACGGATAGAGTAATAATTAGGAGGTTAATAAGTTGATATATTGAGGGAGAATTACTCACAAAAGATTTATAAAAGAGGAAGTTTTTCTTTCAACAATTTTTGGAAATTTTTCTGGAGTAATATATTCTATACAAGCTTCTTTATCTCTTCCCTCTCTCTCTCTCTCCAGCCTCTGCCCTCAATTTTTAAGCAAACCCAGAAAGTACTAGCCTGACTCTTGTCAAGATTTCTTTTCCGACTATAGATCTGTGGTTTTCCACCTAAAAGAGGAGGTAAGACTTAAAGATTCCAGTAAAGGGAGAAATGAGAAGATTGGTTAAGAACAGCTAGAGGATGGCTGTTTTCAGGTTGCAGGAGAAGTATGGTGAGCAGTCAGGCACTTTGGGTTGTTTCCAGAAGATGGTTGGAGTCCTTGGAGAACTGTTATCCATGGCAGACATGAACATGAGAAGAGGTCAAGGAAGGTGAGTAGAAAAGTAACCCAGAGAATGGTGGGTAATTGCTACTTTCACTGTGAGAGGTACCCAATATAATTACTTTTCTCATTCCATCCCCAACTTTAACTCCTTAATTATTCTGCTATTAATCCCCTTAATCCAGCCATGATACAAAAAGACTATTGGAAATGTAGGAAATTGCATTACAAGGAAAGATTAGTCGCTGAGATATGCTCGTGGAGACTGGGCATAACATGACAAGTGGTGCAGTGGAAAATAATGTAATCACAGTTATACTAGTAATAGAGAAGGAAAAAAAAATACAAATTCCCCAATCGCAGCTAGTGATCAAGAATAGAGCAGATGCAGTATGACAAGACTTTTTTCAAGTTACACTACAGGCATAAAAGAATTTAAAAAAAAAATATATATATATATATATATATATATATATATATATATATATATATATATAATCTCACCAGCGATCTGGTCAAATGTTCATTTTCATGACCATAGACTGCACATAAATCCAACAACTTGGGCAAATCAAGCAATTTCTTTTCCTGCAAAAGGACTAAACATAGAACAATGCATTAAAAGCAAACACTTATCAAAAAAGTTTTTACCATAAACTAATTGCTATGGCTATGGCACATTGATCAAGAATGGAACAAATTCACAGGCATACTCAAGCACCACATAATATGTCACCATCTGTCACATACAAAGTTTATCAAATATAAGTGGAAGAAATGCAAGTTCTGTTACAAAATTTAGTTGACTTGCAGGCGTGCATAATCATGCACTTGTTTAACAGCTCAGTTCAAGTTTGATAAGATCACAAGCTTTTAATATTAATGTGTCTATTGATGATACAATTATGGCTTAGGCAATGTAATTAGGATTGGCATTCTACTTCAGATCATAAGGAGCTATATAATAAGGTAAGATAAGATCCTACAACATTTGCATACAACAACACCACCAACAAAGCCTTAATCCCAAAATGATTTGGGGTCGGCTAACATGAATCTATCGTAAGAAATTGTACTATATATAGAAAAGGACAAAACAAAACCATCATTTTAAAGAGTTTGAATAAAGGTGAGTAAAGTGAGTAAACGAAAGAGCATTTAAGAAAGATTTAAGGGAGTTTTAAAAGAGAATTAAGAATAAAATCAAGAAAGTTATTACTTAAATAATAAGGTAAGATAAGATCCAACAACATTGTATAATTCAAAAATTACACTTAAATAAGTTATTATTTGTCATATTAGAAAAGCAACTTTGTAATTCAAATCTTTTAATAGTTCATTCAGTAGTTAATTGCATATTGATTTGCTTGTATGTGAGTATTAATGTAATTTATGATTTTCTTTTAAGCGTAGACTCTTAAGTTTCAAGGAATAAGAAGCAGCCGAGAGAGACCAAAAGACTTTCTCGGGAGTCAAAAGGATTTTTTTGTATGTGCTTTAGGTTCCAAGACTAGAGAATGTAACACTCAGCTACTCACTAAAATATAGCATTACCATGAGGGCAATCTAAGGATATAGAGTTTTTATAGTATTCAAATGATCCTATGAGCGATTCCCCAAGAAATGAGAATAATCTAAGTCATTTGGCCATATTTGGATCATAGACTCTAATTGCAATATAATAACTTTGGATTTTGGCCTTGTCAATGAGAATAACTTACGAAATTGTCATACAAACTTGATAAGTTTACAACTGCATTTCCTGATTTCCTTGTTCAAATTCTCATTACCTTTGTGTAATTGCCACAGCATAGGTTAAACCTTCAGAAGCATGACTCAAAAGGAAAAAAAATATTTTAAAAGAAAAATATTGACAATGTAGTGAAAGCTCTAAAGTTGAAACCTAACTCTCATTCTTAAGAAAAATACTGATAATGTAGTGAGAGTTCTAGAGTTGAAACCTCTCATTCTTAACAAAAATAATGAATATGTAGTAAAAGCTCTAGAGTTATAGGTGGAGTACTAGAATGGGTTTGACACTCAATATCAAGGTTCTAAAGGCCCGCCTCCCACTCCCACCCACCCACCCACCCACCCCCCCCCCAGCAGTGCAAGTCACAGAGGTTATAATAAAGAAAAAAGGAAATACAAGATTACATCATTTAACATTTATAATTTATATTAGAAGGCGTTTCTAATCAAGGATGCACGCCACGTGTCACCCATTTCTTCCACCAAGAGCATGCCACATCACCCAATTAGAAATATGAATGCTACATGTCAATTGAAAAAAAAACAAAAAGTATTTGTCTAGAATCAAACATGGGTCCATTGAGAAATGAATAAGAAGTCATACAAATTTACTATCTAATAATTTAGTTAGCTTATTCTTCTTAAATATATTTTTTGTAGACCAAGAGTGTTTTTCTTATACTTTTACACGAAAAAATATTTTTTAGACTAAACTTAAAATAAAAGTATTTAACATTATTATGTACTCTGTACATACAAAATATTAAAAGTAAAATTCATCTACCTAAAATATAATACGTGAAAATTATAATACATAAATAATTAACGTATCGACCCGGCCGGGTTAAACACTAGTTTATTCTTAAAAGGTAAGACAAGACAGCTTTTAGAAAGATCAAAGAGATGTACCATAAAATAAATAAACTGTGGTCAGAAGTTAACAGTGAGCCAGTCATTCTCAAGTAAGATAAACAAATCAAAGAAATCCCCATAAAGCAAGGAACCATTTCTGGTGTGAGGCCCAATATCCTAGCCCATAGGTCTTCTATCCATTCCTGGCGTCAGCGTTCACATATTAAGAGCGTTTAAACTTTAAAGGGGTGACTCAGGGCACCCCTTGCTTTCCTCGAAATCTTAATAAGCAAACAACCATCAAGTATTTGAAACAAAATTCTCTTGAGTTTCAAGTTTGGAAAAAATCGTAGTCTAACCAACTCGCCTAATTAAGACAATAGCATGATAGGGTTTATGTTACCAGAAAATGCGTACAATTTGTTAGCAAAGAACAAAAAAAATAAAACAAATCAATTCCATTGTCTATCATTAATACTTACAGATTTGGTAAACAAACAGCATTAGTAGAGGCCAAGTAAAAGATAATATCCCAACATCAAACTAAATGTATGGCTCCAACTCTACATTCTTCTGATCAAAGACCTAAGTCAATAGTAAGTGTCCATCTTCAACATAGTCCGAAAGTCTCTATGATCAAAAGGCTTTAATTTAACTCCCAATTAGCAGTTTAGCATAGAGTAAATCAAACGGCCCACTAAACTGTCATGTAATAATTTATAATCAATCTACCATATATTTAAATTCCTTTTGCAGCAAGGATTTACAAAGAGCAGCATTTTTGTAATATCAGTGGTCAGGTTGAAATGGCTTTTGCGATAGTATAGGTAAGACTACAAAAATCTGACACCAGGACACAACCTTTAACTCACTGCAAACAAGATCCATTATAGGCAATGTAATGATGTTATGGTACTGCTTACTCCAAGCCAGGAAAACAATCTAGTAGCATAATATAGATACAGAACTAAACTCATTATTTTAAATTTCTGATAATTATCTGTAGAGAATAACATGTCAAAACAGGTAAAGCAACTACCAGAGGTTGCTTCACAATTATAAAATTACAGGTCTTGTAAAGCTTTAACCAGGTAATACTTCACTATTACAGGTCTTGTAAAGCTTTAACCAGGTATTACTTCACTACTCCACATCGTGCAGTGCTCTAATCTTAACAGTAATAGCACATCCCATGAGAAGTTTTCAAACAATTATGTATTAAAATACGTATACATATACATTCCATACCACACAGAAGTTATGAAGTCAGCAACACCAGAGCTACAGAGTTTTTATTTCCCTAGAAAACCACAAGAAAACATCATTCATTAGATTATAACCAAGTAGAACTTTTACCCAGAATTTCCACCGCATAAGTATCCCCAACTTGGAGGCAATGGGAAACAAACTCCAAACCAAGGTTGGGAAGTTAGAGCTCTAAAATTGAGCTCCCACTAGATTTTCAGAGCTCAAATCTTACGAAATCAATAACACTAGAGTTCATGACAAATATTCATAATTTAGTTCGAAGCTTAGTCTAGAGACACAGTGTTCAACATGTTGATTCAAACTTCAACCAATTTTTAACTATAAACCAAGTATTTAGTGCAAATGACATAGAGATTATGGATATCGTAAACTCCGGCAATGATTGAGAACGGCAATGACTGAGAAGATACAAATTAAAACAGTCATTTGGATCTTGCAAAAGAACATCCAAACGAAGGTTAGATTATGTTGCAGAAAATCAAGACACGTCATCTTTCAATTGCACAGTTTATAGTGCAAAGTGCAGCTTCAGCACAGTATAATTATCTTATATATCCATGAGCCATGCCATTGAGTGGTCCATTACAACTCCAATAGCATCTAAGACAACCCACCTTGGTGATCTTTTTGACTTAGGCTTTCTGTGGCTGGCAAACCAGGATCCTTATTAGAAGATCTGCAATAAAAGTTCGATACATTCCAAAATAATAATCATATAACACAATATGACTACACTTCACAAATAGAATCAGACTGAGCAAAGAAATAAATGCTACAATATTTAGCAAGGTTATTAAAGCTGAAAACTCACATCCTATACAATAACATGAAAACACGGCGGCTTAGCTCTAAGTCCCCAACAATAACACCAGCAACAATTCCCTTGGCTCCATGATAAGGGAAATCATACCATCTACTTCTAAACTGCAGGAAACTGTCAAGAAATTCGTGCAAGGAGGTATCTACCGCCACTGAGGAGAAAAAGGCAGCAAAAATACCAAATAGAATGAATAACAATGCTTAGAAGCAAAAGAAAACTGGAGTATTAGATGCATGTCTACAAAAACATGAGAAAGCATCTTATCTACTTCCAAAACAAAATGTGTGCCAAGTAACATATCCTCACCAAAAAAGTTTGAAGAACTCACTTTTACAGATTGCATGCCATTGCCTGAAATCATGATTATGATGATAGATCGAGGCTAAGCAGCTTAGGTAAAAGTCAAGCTGATCAATATAATAATAAATTATCTAACATAGACATAGTGACATACAACAAGCAAAAAATTTCACATTTCAATACAGATATCAATAGAGGTGCTTAAACAAGAATCAGCACAAACATAAGTATGGAGAAAATATAGTGCCCAACTCTATACTCAACAATCTCAAAACATAAATAAGCAACAGCTTTCAACTGTTTCTTCAAGGGCACGAGATTTTGTTAGAAATAATCATTCCATTGTTGAATACCCAATACATTGGCCAATTAGACAACCATTTCAAATAAATGATATCTCATCTAACAGTACCAAATTATAATGATTCATTATGTAATACACTATCATCCATGTAGCATTGCTAATGCGATATATATTACTACATCCGTCCCTTATTTATATGTTAGAAATTGGCATGTAAAAAAGGGACGGAAGGAATAACATTTTACACAAGGTTAAAGTCTTGAAGGTGATATCCAAAACGACGATAATATTCAGTAGCATATAAAATAACCAAATTTTTTGTATAAAGAAAAAGGGAGTTAGAAATTAATAACCTTCACGCCAGAAATCTCTAGGTTTTAACTTGAGCAACCTAGCCAACTCTCTGTTAAGAAGATCGACGACTCTCTGAGACTCGAGGGGATCTAGACCACCTTGCACTGCACCCAAACCAACAGCTACAGCTTCATCCTGAGGAAGGTAATTTACGAAATTGCCCCCACCACCATTGTTGCTACTGGAAACCCACTCACCATTAGCGCCCAATTGAACTCTGCCACCCTTGAAATGAGCAACGGATGATGCTGAATTTGAGGATTGAGATTGACGCACAGAAGCAGAGAAACTAGGGTTACTGGTTTGAGGGGTTGATGTTGCTGAATTATGGTTAGTTTTGGGGACGAATTTCTTCTGGGTTTTGCCACGAAAACCCCTGTTGCCGGTGAAATTGGGGTTTTCATCCCTGTGATTAGACGATCGATTTGACATTGTGAGCAGTAGAATAGGGGAATGGGGATTGGAAGGATGAATAGCAGGAGGGTTCGCCTTAACTGATCAGCGAATTTTGTTGTATTATTAACGGCATGTTGTCTTCCGTTGAAATTCAGTTCAGTTCAGTTCAGCTCTTAATTTATGTCTAATAATATTGCTAATGATATATGTCAAATTTCATTCTTTTAAACTCTTATTACAACGACAACAAAAACAACAACAACAATAATAATAATAATATTAACAATAATAATAATAATAATAAATAAGTAATAAAATAATAATAATAATAATAATAATCAATAAATAATAATAATAATAACAATAATAATAATCAATAAATAATAATAATAATAATCATCAATAAATAATAATAATAATAACAATAATAATAATAATCAATAAATAAAAATAATAATAATAATAATAATAATAATAATAATAATCAATATGTGTTTAAAATGTTTAGAGGTTTCAAGTTTTTAATATATTTTCCATAAATTTTATAATTATATAGTATATTTTTCGTAAATATTTTAATATGTACATTTGTATATACACATATGTATAGTAATAAATAATCAAAGATCACTAATCCGTAGTTAAAAATCACTAATTAATAAGTTCAGTTCAATTCAGCTCAGTTCAGTTCAGTTCAGTTCAACTGAGTTCAGTCAATCGAAACAGGCCCTAAGACTCTAAAGTCTAAACTAAAAATAAAAAAATAAAAAATAAAAATAAAAATAAAAAAATAAAAAATAAAAATAAAAATAAAAAAATAAAAAAGGTTTTTTCTAGTATAATATACTATGTAGTAACCATTATGCCCCAAATCCCAAATATAGTATCACTTTCTATATTGTGACTCCAAGATACATCATTTTGTTTGTACACGGTAATCTTGCCATTTTCTGCTGTTAAAATTTCATTAGTGGGGCCCATTCTCAATTTATTAATATTTTTTTCAATTTGTGCATTGGAAAATGTTTTGGGGTCAATTTTGGAACTTAAGGAACCTAATTAAACTCATATTTGACAAAAAAAAATAACATAAATGTCTTGTTTTGCGTATTCAAATGTGAACATGTAAATCAAGACATTTCTTAATACAAACTATTAGGTGCGGACGTCCGCACCCAACAGTTCGTGCGGCAACCCTTCCCTTCAAACAGATTACCCATTCATTTCAATTCTCAAAGAAAATTGGGATTTTAGGGCTCATAATTCACAAAACAAAGATCATCATGCTTGAATTAGGCAACCAAATCGAAGAGCATTTAATAATTGAATTGAAAACCCCTCAAAATGAAGATGCCGAGGTGTGATTTGCGATGGACGGTAGATGAAGATGACGATGAACGATCTACGATTTTAGCTTGCTTGGGCTGCGATTTCAAATGGTTCAATTTTTAGGTGGTGCGATTTGGTTGGAGGTGGTGTTTGGGCTGCAATTTTGGATGGAGGTGGTGCGATTTCGGTTGGAGGTGGTGTGAATTTGAGGGTGCAATTGGGCGGCAGTGATGGTGGCTATTATTGCGTTTGAGTATCAAATCTAGTGGTTAGATCTTGTAGAAAGTTATGAGTATGTTTGATTTGCATTACAATTTACAATTATGGTTTGAAGTTCTCGCCTTCGAAGCTAGTAAAGATCGTGGATTTGGGTGGAAACTAGGTTATGTCCCGTACTATACACGTGTAAAGACGTAATTGGTCAAAAAAAAGGAAAAAAAAGAAATTTTAAAATAATTATAAAATAAAATCAATTAATTAACTAAAGACCACCACCACCTCCAGCAGCTCCAGCCACCCTCCGACACCACACTCTCGCCGCAATACCGACGACCAGACACACAACCCCGCACCGGCCGGCATTTTCGCCGCCCTTTTCTCTACTCCTGGTCGTCGTTCGCCACCCCAAACCCCCGAATCCTTGAAATCCCCAAAACCCCCGAAATCCCTGAGAAAAAAATCTCCCCGGCCGCAGAAACCCCCAATTTCCACCTCGCCCAGTCTCAAAAACCTAGCGAAAAGGGGTTTCGAGTGTTAGGGGAAGGGTGATGGGTACGTAGTTTAAGTGGTGGGGAAGGATTTTTTTTAAGGATTTTGAAGGGAGGGAAGGGGTTTCGTGGTGGGCCTATGGTGGTTCAGGGGGAAGGAAGACGGCGGGGGCGAGGGCGGGGCAGGGGAATGGGTCTGGGAGCAGTGGGGTGACGGGTTGCCTGATCTGGGCGGTGGGTGGCGGTCGGGGAGGTGGGTGGTGCTAGCCGCTGGTAGGTGGTGTTGGTTTTCATTTATTTTTATTTTTTAAAATTGGTAGTTGATAATATTAGTTAACATATAATTTGCAACTAAATTAAAAATTAAACTCATTTTGACCAATCAAGTAATGACACATGTACATTAAACTTTTTTAAAACAAAAGTACCTGTTGAACAGGTCAAAGGTCACTTGGGACCATTGGAAGCAAATTGATATTAAAGTTCGGATTATTAAAAAATAATCGAAAGTTGAGATTATTTTGAGCGAATGGGGCAAAGTTGGGATTATTCTTGTCAATTTTTCCAAAAAAATATTCAACTTTCATATGTTATATTCATATCAATTGAATGCTAAACAACAACAAAAAAAAATAGTAAGAAAAATCACGCTAACAATATTTAACATGTATCGTTCTTGGCAAGTATTATTGAAGTGGCCACAGTTAATTATAAATTATTAATTGATTAAAATTTTAATTATAAATTATTTAAGGAAATAACAAACGTACATTTGTTGATTTAATATTCGCATTTCATTGTAAAAAATTGTATCTTCTATTACATATAAATTTTTAAAAAATAAGTATATTAAAAAAATGTTCAGAGTATATATGATCTTGTTGTAATAAATGTAATACATAATATTTCTTTTCTAAAAATAATAATTGAAAAAAAAAACCTCCTCCATATGTCACAAATTATGTTAAGATTTTTTTTTATGCTTTCTTTGTTTAAGTTTATAATTGTTAATACTAGATGAAGCCAGTGCGATGCACAATTTGTTTGAATTTTTAATAATATTATTTTTTATGTATGTGCTAAAATTTGTTGTATATTAGATAAAATTCATAATATCAAAAGATAATATTTTATATTTGATTAATTTAAACATAAAATTATCATTCGATAATTTTGTTTACATGACATTTGAATTATTTAATTTTAAAAGAAATTATAATCTCTAATTTTATTGGCTACAATTAAAATTTATAATCCTACGTGGCACGTTAAGAAAAATAAATTCTATATGGCTCTCTAAAATCCATCAAATCACTCATCATCCCTAACAATTGTCAAATAGAGCAAACCACAAGAGCATATAGAATTCAAGACTAGTGCTCACGCACTCAACTCTTATTTATGTGACGGATATAAAATGTATCCGATCGCTCACCATCCCAATCCCTTTATGTGAACAATGTCCTCCCAACTCACAACACTCGTGTGTTTGAAAGACATGCACAGTCAACTCGAAATATATCAAATCATTCTTTGCATTGATAAGAAACTAATTTCACATTCACACAACTCTATGCACAAAGGTCGGAAGGTCTTTAAAGTTTGTACTGTAAGGCATAGGGTAAAAGGTAAGATAAATTTGGGAAAATGTGAGAGTAAAGTCATGCTTCAGGGAGCCCTAATCCTAATAAAACCAAGGTCAAAAATAAATAATGACCAACCAATCCCAACACAACTCAACTCCACCAAAAATTCACCAACATAACTCCAATCATAACAAGAATTCCCAGCACTTATAATTCCACTCATAAAAATATAATATTATAGAACTTGAGTGAATAAACAAGCTTGAAACTTTTCAACTTGATTTTTTTTTTAGTTTTTTTTTTTATTGAAACTCATTTTTTTCCTTTCTTTTCAACCTTCACTTAGAACATTTGAATATCAAACAATTTTTTCCTTTTTGCTCTTTTTTTCTTTTTTTTTTCTTTGAAGTTCACTTATTTTCTTCTTTTTTTTCTTTTAACTTCTCTTTTTTTCACTATCATGCTTTTTTTACAAGAATTTCAACTTTTAAAACCATAAAAAATAAACACACAATCAAGAACAAAACAACTTCTCACAACCACGACCCAAATTGTGCAAATAATAAGCACACTACAAACTCCCTCACCTAGCTCCCCAAATCCAAGCTTGGGACTAGTAACCAATGGGGAAAAATCGGCTTGTAATGTGGCTAAGAAACAACAAATAGTCAAGGCAACAACATGGGTAGCAAGGAGGGAATAAATGTATCTAAATTCATCTGAAGGCTACCTAAAAGAACAAATGCCTTCGTCCTCCTCAATGTGCATAATAATGAGTCATATAAACACTACTCAAAGTTGCAAGTCAAGACTCAAATTCATTGACATACCAGGAACTAACACACATTCCTTACCAAATCAACTAGTCAAAACACTATATTAATAAGTAGTTGGACAAAATTGACTCATGCTAAGGCATACAAGCAATCAAACATCAAATCATAGCTAGGCTATCCACAATACTCATCATCATATACCAAGAATCAAAACCATTTTCATATATATGGGGAACAGGGAAGCATGATTTATCATTCATTAGATCGTATTTTTGTATTTTTTTTTAATTTTCTATTTATTTATGATTAGGGGATTTTGCTCCCACCAATCGGAATGCGCCACGTGGGCCAATCAGGTCCTGCCAAGTGTCCCCCAGTTGGAACTGTCAGGGCTTGCCACGTGGCACGCGCTTATTCGTCCACCTTGGACCTATTATGTCATGACATGTGGCATACTCCATGCCTAATGGAGAAACCGGCCCCCCAGGCCCAACTTCCGAGGGAAGCCCAATCAGCCCTAGGTTAACCTAAACCTAGGATGGGCACGTTTCCCAAGGTTATAAATACCTCCCTTAATCCTCATTAAGGGGGATCACGAAAAAACACATTAATTACACACAGTAATAACCGGCTGATCTCGCTAACAAAGCAGATTACCTACATTAAACACTCTCACCTAGAGAGACCCAATCACTTTAATTTCCGCATTAA